TGACTGATCAATTTGGAAACTTTTAGGTCAGTACTTCAGCTGTGAGAAAGTCTCAAAGCCAAACCAGTTCGGTCAGAAGCCCTGGACATCACATTTGATTTTGCATTTTCTGCCACAGGTCTGTGTTATATGTACATGGGCTAAACAAAGTCAGTGTCACTGAGCTGACTCACTGATTTGAACTTAATCCTTCAAATCAATTGTGTGTTGTGTCCATCTCTGTGCTCTCAGGTTTGTAGCATCATGTGGCTTCACTCCTGACGTGAAGGTGTGGGAGGTGTGCTTCGGGAAGGGAGGAGAGTTCAGAGAAGTGGCTCGAGCGTTTGACCTGAAGGGACACTCTGCAGGAGTTCACGCATTCGCCTTCTCCAATGACTCTCACAAGTAAGGACAGCTTTTCTGATCACAATACAACGCCAAAGAGGTGTCTCACACTGTGTGTTTACATGGACCCTAATATTCCACAATAATCAGAATAATAACCCACTCAACATAATAGTAACTCATGTAGAGATTGGCCTAATTTGGCCTGGAGGGGTGGTGTAAACATTTGATTATCCCTTCAATAGGAAAATTTTAGTCGCCTAACAACCATTTAAACCGTTAATAAGGTTGTTTCTCTCTGGTGTAAATAAATATATTCTTTGACTATTTAACCCATGTGGGGGTCACATCAGGTGATGCAGTGCACTGTACATGACATGAGACAGCTGTTTCTCCCTCTGCTGATTTTTTTTAATTCTTTTATTTGACCTGTATTTTTATTAAACATGTAAAAACACAATATAGAACATTCCTTGACAACATCACAGAATATGTATGACAGTGCGAAAAAACAAAAATAAAAAAAAGCCATTGGGGCCCAGAAAGCTGAATAATAATAATGACTGAAAAATAAATAAATGGACAGTTAAGACATTACAGCATAGTGTGGGGTTCCACTCAGTTAGAGAGGTATCTTGCTATAGGTGGCCACGTCTTCACAAAGACATCAGACCTTAGTTGTAATTGAGCAGTTAAAGCCTCCATTCCATACACCTCCCTCAACTTCTGTTTCCACTGTGCCACTGTAGGTGGCTGTGGATTCATCCATTTTATTGTCACCATTTTCCTAGCAGTCATCAAGAGTATATGTAACAGGTGCTTTTGGTCTCTGGTGTACATGTCTTCAGGAGTTAGATCGAAAAGACACTGACTTGGGGTGAATAGTAAATCAATTCCCAGAACTTTAGAACCCAGAACATCATTGGGCAATCCCAAAATATGTGTGAGTGGTCGCCAACCATTCCACATTTTCTCCAACAGTATATTGCAGCTGGGTTATCTACAAATTTGGAAACCACCGAAGGCGTCTTAAAGAACCTTGTCTTCATCTTCCAATCAAACTCCTTCCACATGTTACTACTGTATTAGTACCCTTATGACATCCAATGCACATTGTTTCCCACTCTCCATCCTCAATTATAATATTTAACTCCAGCTCCCATTTATTTTAATATAAAAAGTATTGTCTGGTGTATCCAGTAACAGATTTCTGTATATATGGGAAACATGCTTTTTGTTGGGTAGCTGATGTTTAATTATATTAATAAAGTATGTTTCTGCATTTGTTGGAACATTTTAATTATATTCCAATCTTTATGGCTTGTGATGTAATACCTAATCTGAAAATATTGGAATATATCACTTAGGGGTAGAAAGAATTTGTCTTGGAGATATGAGAATGGCTGTAAAACATTATCACAGAACGACTGGTCAATAACCCTTAGGTCTCTGCCTGGCCATCTCTTAAAAGTGATATCTGTTGTTGAGGGGGGGAAATCCGGATTTCCAGCAATCTGCATAGCCCTCCCTCTGCTGATTTTGACAGAGGATATTCATTAATTCAATAATATTTCACACTCTGCTTGTGCTTTGTTTTTAATGCATAAATGTATTCCTTTGTTTTGAAACAGTGGCCTTATGTAACGTTGTTGTTACAGCCTGAGTAGTCACATCAATCGTTTATTGCTAACGTGCAACCACGGTTTGACTACTACAAAAATTGACTTCAGATCTCAGCACACTTCCCGTGGGTCTGATGTAAAGGCTCATCTTATTGGATCACTTTATTTAACGTCTGTGTAAACGGTTAAATTGGAATCTCCTAATCAGAATGATTTCAATCAGATTGAAGGAATATTGTCCGTGTAACCACAGCTGGTGTTCTGACTTTAAAGATAGAGTTTGGCATTTTGAGAAATGTGCCTATTTACTTTTTTTCAGAGAGTAAGATGAGAGGATTGATACCTATCATATCTGCATGCTAAATATATAAAATGGAGAGCCAGCAGCTGAAAACCTTAGCTTAGCATAAAGTTTGGAAGCAGCTAGCTTGGCTCTGCCCAAAGTTACAGAATATGTCTGTTAACACCTTTTTAAACCTTGTTATTAATGTTTTTACACTTTGGCTTTTGCATATTGTAAACAAACAAGACATAAATGTCTGTATGCTGATTGCAAATGAGTCAAAAATGTTTTCACACAGTCTTCGCACTCAGCATCTCTTGTTTTTGATACGTAGTATGTGATTGTTTTCTTGTGTTGATCAGAATGGTGACCGTCTCTAAAGATGGAACGTGGAAGCTGTGGAATACAAATGTGGAGTACAAAAAGCAGCAGGACCCTTACCTCCTGAAGACAGTCCCCTGTGCGTCATCTGAAGGTAGCCGGGTGGCCTTGTCTCCAGACGGCCGTGTGGTGGCCATCAGCGACGGCTGTAATGTGGCTATGTACGATGCTACCAGCGGCCAGCTGGAGGAGGAGCTGCACGGCGTCCACAGCGAGGAGATCACTGACCTCAGATTTGACATTAACGGGCGCTTCTTGGCGTGCAGCGGAGACAAGGCCATCCGAGTGTTTCACAACGCCCCGGGTTACCGGGCGGCCATCAGAGACATGCAGGAGATGCTGAAGAAGGCCCAGAATGAGGCCATGAAGCAGAGACTGCAGCAGCAGATCACAGAGGCTCAGAGCGCCCTGGACACTGTGCTGGCTGCTCCCGTCGACTGAAAGAGCCCCAAGAAACTGCCCTCTGATTGTGAAAGTGTGATTCAACCTCAACTCTCCGTCTGCCACTAAATGATCTGGTCCTGGAGAAATGGAATTTGCATGCCGTTTTAATAAAGAGCTTCTTTTTATGGAAAGATAAAATGGTTTGAGTTCAGGTGTTTTTGTCCTGTTTCATATCCAGTAATGTCTGAAGTGTGATCTCTGCTGTGGCAGTTTTTATATTTGCCTTTTGCAGCTTTGATTTAAAGTCCTCCTTCACTCAGGAACATGTGTTTGGCTCATTGTTCCTTCACTCTGATGTTTGTGTTTCATTGTGCAGAAGGATTTGCGCAGAGTTTTAACATTTATCTGCTGAAGTTTATCTCAAATATCAGTTTAAAACATGTTTGTAAGAGCAGGAGTTGTGACAACAAGTTGGCAGTTCGGTTCTCAGTGAAATACACTAACTATAGGAATTATTTAGGGCTGGCACGTTATCAGATTTTCACTACATGAAGAATTCACAATTATATCATCACAATTATAATGCTTTAATTCAAATTAATCTTTAACTCTTAATTAATATTTTTTTGGTATATGAATTATACTAAAAATATAATATATATAATTATATGTATGTTTGAGAGGCCTGGCACTCTCAAAACGGATTGTATTAGTGCCTTTAATGATTGACTTATTAAAAACAGAATAATATAACATTCTATGTTAATATATTACGTTAATGAGCTCTATGAAGATTGATTTGTCTCAATATTATTTGTGTGAACAGATTGACAATCTGTTTTAATATGTAAACTGTAAATATAAAACACCTTCCACAAATATATATATAAAAAAATTATAAAATCAAAAAAGTATTTTGCAAATATAAAACAGATCTATAAAAATTAACAAAGTCCACAAATAAAAGAAAATCTGTGAATACATTTAATTAATTTACAAATAGATGTAAATATCTTATTAATATTTACAACTTTTGAAGCGATATGTGAATCTGGTTTTTATTTTTGAATCTCCTCTATAAACTTGTGGATTTACATTTATGTACACTGAGTGTTTTTGTTTTTATAAATATATCATTTAGATTTCTGTATCTGTGGATCTGCTCTATATTTGAAAAATAGTTTTTGTTTACAAATATGTTTCTGTATTTGTGGAAACTGTTTTATATTTATACAACTAATATTTATTATAAATATTTATGTATATTTAGAATAAATCATTTCAGTCAATTTACTGAACATGTTAAACTATAATACAAACAAAACAAACAATAAAAACAAAAACAAACGGAATCCTCAGCAACTCAAATATTGTTCTTGTTTGAAAAGGGGTAAAAAGCAAAAACTTATCTGGTCCTACTCCGCTCTTATTTTTTTTATATATATTAATCATAGAAAATAAAAGTTAAATTTACAGCCATTGGTGTAAATTGAACTCTTATTTTCTATGAATATTTCACACAAATAATATGAAGACAAATCTATCAGAGTACTTTTGATACTGTAAGTTCATTTTGCTGATTAAACATATGGACTTCTATTTTAGTAACAGTTTTAATTCAGGACTTTTATTTGAAATTGAGCATTTTTAGTTTTACTCAGTAAAGTATGAGAACATTTTCCATTATTTATCATAATCATTTCATAATATCTATATTTATGTATTTATTAGAATATATATATATAACAAAAAATAAAAAAGTAAAATCAAAAAAATAATTTACAAATATAAAACGGATCTAAAAATACACAAATTCCACAAATAAAAAAAACCTCTGAATACATTTAATGAATTTACAAATAAATGAAAAACATTTGTACATATCTTCCCAATAAAGTTTTTGGTGAAGAAAAAAAAATGCGGAAGTGTTGACCCGGAAGCAGTATCAGAGGCACGTTTTCCTCTTGCAGCAGCAGCATGTACAGCTGCAGTGTTGGTGTGAGGAGATGTCTGTAGAGATGGTGGAGCTCTCCGTTAAAGCACCGGAGCCGGTCCGACCGGCCGGGATCCTCCAACAGAACCGGGTCTTCCTGGACTTCTTTTGGGACTTAGCCAAACCGGATCAGGAGGTCCGACTGAAAGCGGTGAAGGACCTGATCCAGTACCTGAAAACCAACAACAAGGTGAGGACAGTGACTGAGAGGCTGTGTGAGAGCACAGCGTGGTTAAGTTAAGACGGGAACAGTAGTGTTACAGCTGTGTATGTCAGCAGTGACCCAAAAAGTACTCAGATCTTTTAATAAGTAAAAGCAGTAACACCACAGTGTAAAAGTACTCTGTCACAAATAAAAGTCCTACATTCAAAATCCTAAGTAAAACTATAAAAGTATTAACATCAAAATAAATTTTAAGCATTAAAAGTAAAAGTACTGAATGTGCAGAATGCCCCAATTCAGAATAATTTATATTATATTATTGGACTATAAACATTGAGGCATTAATGTGTTCCTTTCAAGTCTGATACTGCTGCTCTTTCCTGTGGCACACTTCAGGGCTCTGTCTTAGATCCTGTAGTATTTGCTTTATACATGCTTCCACTGGGTCAGATCATTAGCCAGTTGTCAGGTATATTATATCACTGTTATGCTGACGACATTTAACTGTATGTCTCGTTTAAGCCTGATGACAAACCAACTTGCTTAACCTCTATAACTGTTTGATTGCCATCAAGGTCTGGATGTCAAACAACTATGAATGATTAAACACAGACAAGACGAAGGTTCTGACAATTACTTCAGAGAGTACAGTTTCAAAGGTTGCCCACAGTATTGGGTCCCTTGCGTCAGCTATCCGGTCAAATTTAAGGAACAGTGTTATTTTTTATCAGGCCATGCATTTTGATGATCAAGTTAAGTCATTGACCCGTACTTACCACAGGAATGACACATAGTAAGTAAATATATTTCACCACTGGTTGTTAGTGGTACATACAGTTTTAATATCAGTGGTGGAAGAAGTATTTTTATTATTTACTTAAAAATAGGAACCCTACACCATTAATGTAAGTTAGATGTAGGTTAGAGTGTTGTCACTTAAGTATTGTCACCCTAATACCTGAAGTAAAAAAGTAAGTGTACTCATAATATATCTAATATCTTATTATATAATCAGTGTAATATAGTATAGACATGTACAAATATATTTACTGTCTTATTTACTTTTTGATAGTTTAATCTATAACAAAGCATCTTAATTCACAAGCTCGTTATAAGACGTGTGTAAAATGATTTGTAATTACAGCTGTGAGATAAATGCAGAGTAGACAGTGGAAAAGTAGAATAACAAGGACATACTCGAGTAGCTCAAAATCGTACTTGAGTCCAGTATGTTGGAAGTTATGTTGTAATCTATCTGAATCGTGTTATTTATATTAAATCTGTGTTATGGAGTGTTGATGATGAATGTTGCTGTCTGTGCTCTGCAGGCAGATGAGTTGGAGTACACCTTTAAAAGGCTGGTAGACGGACTGGCTCACACACGAGAGGCTGCCAGACCTGGATTCAGCCTGGCTCTGGGACAGGTGAGTGAAGATGACCACCGAAACCAGTATGATGAGTTGTGGCGAGTCGTGACCGTCATAGAACATCTACAGAGTCGGGCCAACAGGCTGTGTCATGGTTATTCAGTGTCAGCATTCATAGATACTTCAGCGACATGTTTAAGGCCCTGGTGACATGTAAACTTATTTTCAAAAACTGATATTTTCCTCCTTGATTTAAAAAAAAAAAAAGATCTGTCTACACGAATTTCATTTTTCAAGAATCTCTGCACACTAGAACACAAAAATGACTCCAAATGCTTGCCGACGTCAGCCGTCTTCCACATTCTCCCCTCATTGTGCAGTAGGTGATAAAGTGTACAGGCTACATTACCTTTTTTAAACACCTACTGGAGATCTCATCATCACCTACTCCCCGCTGATAAAAGGATAAAGGAGCTTACTCAGAGATCCGAGTGATGCTCTGGACATGTGAAAGTTTTCCTTCCACTCCTCATCAACAACAATCCCACTCTGGAAATTGTCCCACCATCTGCTGGTTCGACTGGTCCTGATGGTCCGGAACTGTTGTTTCTGGCGGACTTTAAACGCCCACGCTGAGTTGGATCATTGCAAGCAGCAGATGCTTCCATTTGTCTGTGAAGTGATGCAGCACTACTAAGTTTAAATAAGACCAAATGGTGCTAACAAAATGTGGACAAACTGGTGAGTTAAGCCCCGTTTCCACCAAACACTTTCAGTACAGTACCTTTGGAACCAAAAGTGACCCTTCAGACATGGTACCTAGACACTCGGTCTGTTTAACGTTTCCATCGCAAACATTCCTCTTTCACGTGGACGGGTTGTTGTCACTCACTGCTCCATCCAGCACTCGCTGTATTTCCTCATAGATTGTGCATCTGCACCTGGTTTATCGTCCATAGAACGAGGCTGCACACCGACATTTTCAGAACAAAATAGAACAGGCTGCAGTGAGAGTCTCTCCATGGGATATTTAAAAATAGCAGCTTTGTGCATTTAGTCATTCTCAGGCAAGCTCAGGGGTTTAGTGTTGCTGGAGCCCACAGGAACGATGCTCTGTGACATGAATATAAGAATTTATGCAGTTCACGTAATCCGGTCGAAATTCATATATATATATATTTTAAAACGCTTGAAGATCCACTCATTACTAAGAGTGTCTGTCATCCAAGAGAGACGATAAAAACTAAAGTGATGGTCAGAGTTGTCAAAGTGATATTTAAGGTGTGTTGATGGATTCACATCATCAACTCATTCCACCTTAAAAGTTGCTGGCAGTCGGCCCAGTGAATGAAGTTATTTTTGCTCAGACTCCAGCTGCTGTGAGAGGCAGCAAAACATCCTTTCATTTTATAGTTACAGTTTACTAATAAAACTCTCCACTGTATGAACAGTGGTTACATGAGCCTCAACACCAGACACAACTCAGCCCTGAGCAGAGTGACCGTCCTCTACTGACCAATCAGACTGCAGTGTTCACAGCTCCACCTTTTATTACCAGATCTGTGTGCTAGGTACCCCAACAGAGGGGGGACCAAACATGGGGACTGTATGGAACGGTTCTGTTGGTACCATCCACAACTTTTCACAGTGGAAACAGAAAAAAAGCGTACCGAACTGAACTGAACAGGACTGCTCGGTGGCCAGGGGCAGATCTAGAAAAATATTTATGGGGTGGCAAGAGGGGGGCAGGAATTTTTGAGGGGTGGCAACATATGGGAGATGTGTATATATACTGAATTTAATCACAGTTATCACAGTTTGATGAGAAATAGTATGTTCACACTACATAAGGGCACGGGCTGCCATTTACAAACTCATACAGACAAATTTAATCTCATGCAATCAATGTCTTACATTTGAGTTTTCATGTGAAACAGTTCATATTAGGAATAAGTGTTGAAGGAGGTTCAACAAACTCTGAGTCTAACCCTGAACTCTGAGTTGATTTACCCTGAGATGGGAAACTCTGAGTTACCGGTTCCAGAACAGCTGATTTGAGTTAGTTCAGTCAACTCTGAGTAGCTATGTTCACTCTAAGTTAAGCCGACAATAAAAAGTCATCATCAAGTGGAGCTCCGACTCCACGATTCACCATGGCAACAGGTAAATAAAAGACAGCGCCTCCATTTTAATCCAGTGGATGTAGAGATATTAATGCATGTGTAGCAGACGGTTCATGTTTATCTTTAAAAGAAGAGCCTGAGTCATAGCGAGGAAAGTGTAAATAAGTTAACCATAAAGTTAATAAAAAAGTTTTATTCAGTGTTGTCCGTTTATTCATCATTTATCAGGCTTACATTTCCTTAATGAAGATAATGTGGTGGAATCTGACTGTGTATCAGGCTGTAGATGCATTAGGCTACATTATATTAATAATATATAATAATATATTTGTTCAGATTTAATCTGATGGGGAAAAACACAGGAGGCAGCAACTGAAAAATAGGAAGATTTAAAACATATAGGCTAGGCTATAGATCAAAGACATAAAGACATGACTGTAAACTCACAGTCTGACCCAGTAATAATATGTTTGGTGGTTTGCACTTGGAAAGACATTGAGGTTAAAATACAGTAGATTTTAAAATGTTGGACATCTATTTGTATCTTGACTCAACAGCATTCAGTGACTTTATTTCAGCCACAAATGTAGTAAATTTAAAGACACTGAAATGCTGCACCATTGCTCACTCAGAAATATTAACATATAATCCCCAATATTAGGCTATAGGAATTATGTTCCATCAGTGCGACCAATGACATCAGTGATAGAGATCATTAGTCATTGATACTACGTGTCTAAAGCTTCATACCGATTTTTAAAATTTAAATAATTAGACCTACACATTATGTGCAAAAAAACATTTCGGAGCTGCTCTAACAGTCTGACAGTCTGATCCTTGTGCACAGTGTTATAAAAAATAATAAATATAAAAAGGACAGAGGTTTGATTCTGAGCTGAGGATGAATTCTTGCTGTGTAATATTTGAATAAAGACAAAAACCGATGTCCAAAGAAATGATTGATGTGCATAAATTCAGTAACTTAAGACAGTCCTGAGTAACAAACTAATATCCAGCAGGATTTAGACTGTGACAGACGGTAAATCTCCGCTAATGAATGCGCTTCGATACAAGCTTTGACACGGACTGAATGAATGAGGAAATGAAACAGCGTGCAAGAGGGAGGAGACAGAGAAAAACCTAACCAGCGAGCAGGTTAGGTTCACAGACTCAGTTGCCATGGTGATTGACTCAGAGTTTGATTTACCTCTCTTTCTGGAACTGAAAACCCAGAGTTTCCCTCATTTCAGGGTTAACATACTCAGAGTTTTCACTAAACCCGCTTTCTGGAATAGGCTACCCCTCTGGCTCCACTCAGTTTTCCAAACAAAGCAGTCTCTTGCTGCTCTGGCGTTATCTTGTGCTGCATTCACTGCAGTCGGACATTGGAGATTTGCGCTCCTAAATGTCAAATTGGCCATAACTTTTCTTTGAATTCATTGCTGCCAACTGGGGTGGCAGCAGGGGTGGCATGGCTTTCTTTTAGGGTGGCATTTGCCACCCTATGCCACCCCAGTAGATCCGCCCATGTCGGTGGCATTAGTGTACGCTGCTGTTACAGTTCCTGGGTCATGCTCATTACGCCAGTGGTTCCCAACTGGTCCAGCCACAGGTCCAGATTTGTCATCAGTCAGTAGTTCAAGGTCCACACAGTTTAATACATTAAGCGTCATACTTGACTTGTGTTTGACCATGTTGTTAAGCTAGTTTGTTGTCTCTGTCAAGTAACTGTCCGTTAGTCACTCACTCTACAGCAGGAAATGGCACTTCAAAATAAAAGCTCTGTGCTGGAAATGACATGAGTTTTTGTTCTTCAGGTCTTAAGCGCCTTTGAAGACGTCTCCCTGCAGAGTACACTAGACAGAATCAAAGCAAAGCACAATTTGCAGGCAGTGAAAAAGGTGAGTGTTTGACGTTTTCTCTGTCGACTCTAAAAGCTTCATGAATGGGTTTTTTAAAAACATCAAGGTCTTCTCTCTTTTTTGTTTTTCAGAAACTTTTCAGAAATGCTTTGTTTGGAAACTTGTTTGGCGTCCTCGCCCTTCAGCAGTCCGGCCGCCTCTCCAAAGTAAGCGCTCTCACCACGATTCATCGTCTCAGATTTTTGTGTTTGCAGGATAAATAGTGATTATGTCAGAACCAAAACGTACATGTTGTGTGCATCAATGAATCTACAGCTGCACACTGTGATGTGTGTGTGAAGGTTGTGTGTGTGAGCTGTAGTGTAACATGGTGTTGGTCTCTCTTGTGTTTCTGCAGGAGCCCCAGGTGGTGTTGGGATGTGTGCAGCTCCTTCAGAGCCTCGGCCAACACAGACAACATGTGAAGGACCTGCCCACTAAGACCATGATGGACATCCTTAACGAGGTGACAACTTTATAATGACACAGCGGCCATATCACTATAACCATAATACATACACATGCATCATGCACAAGGCGTTTAAGTTTTATCTTTTACGTTAATCCTGAATTCCACTTTTAGTAGTTCGATTCTTTCATCTCTTAAAATACACATCCACCCACTCTGTTCTTAAACTGACGTGTGTGCGCGGTCCATCAGATCCCAGAGGAGGTGTTCGAGGAGGTCCTGCTTGGCGCCCTGCAAACTGACCTGGCATCAGCCTTCAGCACTCCAGAGCAGCTGCAGCTGCTGCTGGTCGCCCTGCAGCGTTTCCCACAAACCCTCAAACCCAAGAAACTCAAGAAGCTGCTGGGATCGTCGACCATCATCAACGCCGACAACATCCCCAAGTAAGAACAGTCAGTACCTTTACATGCACAGTTAAGTGGAGCTACAGTTACAGCTTGACTAGGCCATTCAATTGGACTACTGTCCTTGTCCCAGTATACAAGCACAGGAGGGGAATCCATTTATAGACCCAAGTATGTCTTACTACTCCAAGATAGGTGGAGATATGCCCCCTTTCAGCTTGTTTAATTATGCACCAGTTTCCCTCACTACACCTGCTGTGTGGGAAATCTAAGCAGCCTGTGATGTCGTCTTGCAGGTTGACTGAGGTGATAAAGATGGCGGCCCAGTCGGTGAAGAAGGAGTGTGTCCTCCCAGCGGTGGTCCTGGACCTCCTGAAGCTCTCACTGAAGGAAGACAGCTTCCAGCTCTTCTGGAATAACGCCATCATCAACGGCATGCTAAAGGAGCCACCGGGGCCAGCTCGGTGAGTCCTCACAGGGAGCATCGCCTGCACAGTGGGAGTGCAACAAGGGCCTAGAAACATTGATCCTGACAGTCAGAGCTGAGGGCATTTCTGCTGAGCGTGCCCTAAATCCTACAGCTGTTGTAGTGTCTGCAGCTTTTATATTCACCTCAGCTGCACACGAAACTGCAGCCTGTGTTTCCTTTAATTAATCGCGTCTGTAAATCATATGTCGTATTGTCTAGGTAACTACACTCTGCTAACATGTTCTCCTGGTGTCGTCCTGTTTGCGTCCAGTTACCTGAGTTTCCGTCTGCTGGGCAGCGCCCTGCCTCTTCTGTCTGTGGCCCAGCTGAAGGAGGTGCTGTCTGGAGAGGTGATGACGCACTACGGGGAGCACGTGGTGTCTGCTCAGGTCAGTGACTCGGTCTAATCGACAGGTTACACTCTTCAACAGGACATCATCTCAAACAGTGTTAGCATATGCTCTGGTTAACTCAAGTTAACATACAAACAATGTTTTTTTTGCCTTTGCACTGGTGGTAGCCACGGCCAGAGGCATTGTGCTTTCAGGTTCTCTATCTTTTTCTTGTGAACATGATATATCAAAAACACCTGGGAATTTCTCCAAATTTGGCACAAATGTCCAATTTGAGTCAAGACTGGACTGATTAGATTTTGGTGGTCGAAGGTTAAACAACATTGTGACTTTTACTTGTGCATCAGTTCTGTACAGAGCCTAAGCACGTGGCCTACGCCGTTGTGAGCATTTATACTAGTGTGGTGGTGTGTCTGTCACTCTGCAGTTACACCTCCAAAACACTAGTTGGTGGTGGAGTTTCTGTGAAGTGCTGTAAAGTTTAGTTGATTCAAAACACACATTAAACATCCATGAAGCATCCATGTTTTCACAGACATAGATGTAAACTGTAAGTGCAACCTGATAGGTTTGTGGAGGCACATGAGGCAGTAATTCCACACAGAAGAGCTTGTCCACCCCATGGTTTGAACCCCCCACACTGGTTTCCAACCAGGAACCCTCTTGCTGTGAGGCAGCAATGCTAACACTGCAGCACTGTGCCACTGCCACCTAAAGAGATTTTTAGTTTATATTGGTTAATGTCTCATCCCTCATTGGTCTCTATACCTGTTTAAACCAGTGATCATGCACACAAACAGCAAACTAATCAATTTCATGCATCATTTTTCTCTCTCAGACAAAGGACCGCTTCAAGCTGGCCCCAGAGATGGAGACCTATGTGTCGGACTTCCTGCAGGGCTGTCAGGACGCCGACAGACAGCTGGCAGTGATGGTGGGCTTCTCCTCGCTGACCAACAGGGGCTACCCGGTGGTACCGTCGGTGTGGAGGGTGGTGCAGCACCTGCAGCCTGCAGCTCTGCAGCAGTACGTGGAGTGGCTGAAGAACATGTTCCTGCAGCCTCAGCTGGACAAGTTGCTGGATTTCAGCACCCGCAAGCAGAAGGACAGTCAGGAAGGAAAAGAACAGTGAGTGTGCACGCCTGCTGTTTGTTTAGCAGCACGTTGATGTGTGTGGATGGATGTAACTGATTTTCCTTCCTCAGGGGGGAGAACGTCACATTCCGTCTGAGGAAGTGGATCGTCTCTCGGCTCTCCTCGATCATTGACAACTACCAAGTGAAGAAGCAGGAGGATCTCATCATGGATGTGGCCAGGTGAGACCTGCCTGTAGCTGATCCATGTTAAGGTCTCAGTGTTTGTTTGAAGAGAGCGCCATCAGCTGGTGTTGTTTCTTTTCCAGGTTTGTGTTTTTCCACGCGTTCTTCAGTGCCAAGAAGGCCTCGGACGACATCCCCGAGACAAAGGGGAAGCTTTCTGCCCCACTGGATGAGAAAACCAGAGGAGTGCTTGTCAATTCTTTCTTTGGGTGAGAGATGAGCTTCTCTGCTATTCTTTCTCAGCTACCTCTTAAATATCAGCCACTGTTTACAGCAAGTGTAGTTTGCTCCTCCCAGCATTTGTTCGGTCACGCTTCTAATGCTTCTTATGAATTTATTATCTGGTGTCACAAAGAACTGGCCAAGAAACAACTGATTTTAAGACTTATTAAGCTTCAGTTATGCTTCCTGTACAGATGGTTGCGCAGACACGAGCTGACATGGAATTGTGATGAGGAAACGTTTGGATCTTTTATTTTCCCAAACTGCAGGGGTCAGTGAATCAAAATCTCACGTCTGCAGCTTAGTTTTCTGTTTGCTCCGCCCATCTGCATCCTTGTAGTTGGAAAATGTGGGATATGCAAAGACCAGGCCCCCAGGAACAGTGTCGGGCTTTGAAGCCAATATTTTGAGTGGTAAAATGCCGAATTACAACTTCTGGGTCTGTCACATGATGCTGTGGGGCCCAAAAAGATTTAATCTTATAGACTTACATTGTCAAAGAGACACCTGTAGATCAGCTAAGACATTTTTCTGAGTGTCACAACCCCCTGAGGAATGACTCATTTTACTATTGTGATCTGAACCACTGACTTTCCGTCTGTCCACCCTCCAGACTCCTCCTGTCCATGCACCACCTGCCTCTGATTGAGGACTCAGTCGAAGGCAACCAAAAGCGTGTACAGGGTGTCACAGCCGATGGCACCATGTGGATCTACCACCTGGTTCAGTACGCCAAAGTCCTGCTTAACCAGCCGAAACACGTCCAGAGCAGCCAGCCCTTCAGCCCCGAGCAGAGACAGGCCTGGGACAGGTAGGACAACAGGATCTCCTCAGAGTGTGGCCTCTGTGACTGACAGGAGCAGGACAAGATTAACATACAGCTTAATTATTCATTTACTTCTGATGGAGTGACAGATAATACAGCGAGGATCTTTTTCATGTAGTTTATCGTTTCTATAATGAAATAACACTGAACTCAGCAGCTTAATTTTTCTGTTCACCATCTCATTAAACAAATGAGACACTCCACTGCTACACCAGTGTGTCTGTTTAATAAGTGCTGTGAGGTAGGGCCGTGTTTTACAGCTCCGCCTCTACATGTGTGTTTCTCCAGCATGCTGGAGTCGGTGGCAAACCTGAAGAAGAAAGCAAAGAAAGGCGCGACTGCAGAGAGCAGCGCCTTCCAGCAGCTCTTCCTGTTGGTCGGCATGCACCTCTTTAAGGTACAGAATACCGCCAGAGCCGTGAAACAGCAGTACTGTCGTTACTGCAGCCTTAAAGGGACAGTTTGGATTTTTTGAAGTGGGCTTGTATGAGGTGCTTATCCAGAGTCAGTGTGTTACACACAGTACATGGTGGTCGGCACGCCCCCAGTTTGGAGAAGCAGGCTGGAGTTTAATGTGGAAGTCAAACAATGGACTGCAGTAAAACTTATTTTAGCCACCTAAAAAAAATCTGTTAGGAGTCATTAAAATCTAAAACTAACAGAACGTACTGATAACATCAGTGTAAAAATGTTGGGGCAATATGACCTCAAATCACGATTAATTGATTGCTTAGCTTCAGTGGTGGTTCTCCTGCCTGCTTCTCCAAACTGGGAGTGTGCCAACTATGGATACGTACCAAACTCTCCCTTTAATTTGGTGTTGTAGTTTAATTTCCAATCAACAAACACTAATCTGCTGACACAAAACCTTTGTCCTGAAGGCCCCTGAAGAGCTGCTGGACATCATGAAGGACCTGCAGAGCTGCGTGGACAAGGCTCAGGAGAAGAAGGCCAAGAAGAAGAAGAAGAAACAAGGTGAGGCCTCATACACAGTGTTGACGACAGCAGCTTGATTCTCACAATGTCACAAGATCATGCGAGAATCCACTTCGTCAGGCGTCATGTGTTTGTGTCAATCAGGGACAGAACAGCACTGAAGGCTTTTCTAGATGTTTTTGTTCTTCTTCTGACCGGCCCGTTAAAGATGGTGACAGACAGATGATTCATACAGTCACCTGCCAAGTATTTTTAGTAGGTCCTCGCCCTTTTTCAAATATTTTCTGATGACAACTTCTCAGATGGTTTTGTGTAACAAACCATCTGGCGCATCAGGTTAGCTGCCTCCATCATCCCTTCACATCTGACTGTTGCACTGTACAGGAGTGGGTTTGCAGAAGAGACGAGCGTGACACCTCCACTAACTGCTGCAGATACAAGACCCTTCTTTAGTTTAGATTAATATCAGCTGTCAGTGTGGTCACTGGAGAGATGAGACCAGTCCAAACTGGATGTCTGTATGTGTTCGGAGAAAACATTATTCAGTCGTGTCACTCTGGGCTTTCATGTTTCATGCTTCAGACATTTTGATATTTTGCAAAACCCTGAGAACATCATTCAGTTGTTTACAAGAAGCAAAAAATGTCAAATTTAAAGGACACTGGTTTTAAAAAACAGACATTTGTAATTCAGCAAATGGAGCTGTCTCAGGTACGACAACCAACAACAGTCACAGTGACGTCACGCATTGGTTTGTTGATTCCCATTTCGAAGCCTAAGTTTGGCATTTTTACTGTCCATACAACCAAACGCTGAAGACTTTTAGGCAACCAAAATGCTACAATTAACTTTGATGAACTTAAAACAGCAGCTGTAGCTCTTGCTATTTCAGAGGCCTGATGAACATATCAGGAGAAAATTAACTTTGTTCGAGACGTCTCTGTTTTAGTAACACACTCTCATGAGATCTGGCAACAACTGATGTGATCAGACGCTCTGTGGATACCAGGCATTAAGCTATAAGTTATAAATAAGTAGCAAACATTAAATTTGTAATTTATATAGTGTTAAATAGGGCGGAGAGATGACCACGCCCACTTAGTAGACCTGAAGTGTGCAGCATATCATACCATTGGTGTAGCTTGTAGTAGGGGTGTGCCATATCATCTTTTTCAATATTTAACATATATATGAAAATTCATATCGTGATACTCGCAATATTTTGACTTGTTGATTGACTCACTTCTGGGGCCAGCCTCAAGTGGCCATTAGAGGAACTGCAGTTTTTGGCACCTCTGTGTCAGCTTCAATTTTCAGCCCCAGAGGTTCCCGCTTGGTTGTAACCTTATTGTTTAAAAGACAGGAACTACAATATCAGCTTGTTCTGCTGCCCCAAAGTGGGCAAAAAAAAAAAAAAAAGAATTAAAACTAAAGTGTGTTTTTACATGTGTGCTTTTCTCCTTGGTGCAGCCACAGAGGAGGAGGAGCCAGAGTGGGTGGAGGTGATGGTGGACATCTTGTTGTCCCTGCTGTCCCAGCCGAGCCGACACATCAGACAGGTCTGCAAAACGGTCTTCTCCACCATCTGCCCTCACGTTACTGCAGCGGCCCTCACCGCCATCTTAGATGTAAGTAACACGTACAAAGTCAAAGTCAAATTCAGCACCTGTCACTGTCTGTTTAAGTGGAGGATTATTACACTTAAACATAAGTGGGACAATCACAAAGTCCAGTAACTTTGTTTTTCCAGAGCTTTCAGCCAAGCTCAGTTGTGCGTTCAGAGTTTGTAAAGTGTTTGTCATACACAGACTTATCCTGCTGCCATGACGACCAGATCGCCATCAGAAAATGGATGGACAGACAAATGTCTTGTCGGCTACCTGCCCAAATAAAATAAATGAGTGATCTCTCATTGTTTTCAGAGTCACTTAGGTCCCATGTATTCACTGGAAGCTCTGTAAGTGGTTGTAATGATGGGACTTTTGGGCCCTGTGTAGGTCCTGGACCCAGAGAAGGATGACGAGGAGGACGCTGCTGTGGTCGTCACCGACGACAACAAAACCCAGAAGAAGAAACCTAATGAGGAAGATGACGAGGACGACGATGAGGAGATGGAGGTCAGATCTTCTTACAGAGTATACAGCAACAGTAATTTCTTTTATTATCAGTAACATGGAAACCCTGGAAAAGTCATGAAACTAGTGAAGGTTATTGAAAGTTATGTCATGGAATTTCGTTGTGTAATGAAACTGTTACAGTAATCTTCCATGGACAACCTGTCACGTACTGTAACTCTGCAAATTTATTTCCTGGAGCTGACAATGTAGCGTAGCTCGAATATGCGTCGATATGTGATAATGTTTTCTGTACCAACACGTACATTATTCCATTTTCTCCCACGCATTCGTTTGAATAGAGTTTGAATCTGATATGTTTAAAAATAAAAAATAAAAAAAACGCCGTGCAAGTGGGGCAAGAAATAAAAAAATAATATTATGGGTCCTTGAAAAGTCATTGAAAAGGTTTGAAACTTGTCCATGAACATGTTTGGGAACCCTGCTTTTATTCATTCCTCTTAATAAACGTGTCTTCACTGTTACAGTTTGATTTTTGTGCTGCTTTAGAAGAAATATGTTTGTTGTCCTGAAACATGTGGGTTCTGCTCTTCCAGGAGGAATCTGATGGATCAGATGATGACTCTGATGAGGATGAAGGTGACGAAGCGATGGAGGAAGAGGAGTCAGAGGAGGAGGAGTCAGGGGAAGAGGAGGAGATGGAGCAGGGAGAGGTGGACCAAAATTTCCGTTTGGAGCTGATGAAGGTCCTGAAGCAGCAGAACGCTCTGGTGGGTTTTCAGACGTGGTGTTCGTTTGGTGTGATTTTCCACATCAGTCACAGTGTAGCTGAGGCAGCTCTGTAGCTTAGCACAGTTATAAACTCAGCAGATGTTTCTAGTACAGTCTCCCTTTAGTTTCCAAGTCTTCAGCTTGTATTTGATGTTTCAGAGCAGCACGTCACAACTTGAGTTGAGTACCGTCAACTGCACCTCTGTTTTTATACATTTTATTGTCAGTGTAACTGGAGCCCAACCGATTTACTGGTCGGATTATTCAGATTTGACACAAACGTCCACTTGGACTCAACAATAAACTGATTAGAATTTGGTGGTCAAATGTCAAAGTCATTGTGACCTTGCATTCAACTAATTTTCGTGAGTGTAATAGCTGAAGAGGGCCTTGAGGGGGCGCCCACTAGCTCACCTGGTAGAGCAGGCGCCTATGTACAAAGGCTGTGGTTCTGCTACAGCGGCCGCAGGCTGGATTCCAACCCCTGGCCCTTTGCTGCATGCCATTCCCCCTCTCTCCTCCCTTCATGCTGTTGCTGTCCTATCAAATAAAGGCAAAATGCCCCCAAAAATATATTTAGGCCTTGAGGGAGTTTCCTCAGTTTTGGTTCGAATTTCCCCGTGGACTTAAAAAATGAACTAATAAGAATGTGGTGGTCAAAGGTCACTGTGAGCTCACAAATCAGGTTTTCACCATAACTCAAGAATTCATATAGTATAATTGTGATTACAATTATAATCGAGCTGCCCTTCTGCCTGATTCATTAAACTATGCTCTTGTCTTGTGAGACGCTTCAGATGAGAAACAGAGCAACACGTGCGTCAGATCCCAGTTCATGTTGTGTCCTCTGTTGTGCTGTGCATTCAGGCCACAGAAGAGGACGGCAGCAGCGATGAAGACCTGGATGATGACGCCATGATGGAGCTGGATAAGGGCCTGGCGGCGCTGTTCTCAGAGCAGAAGAAGAAGAACCAAGCCAAGAAGGATGAGAAGACAAAAATACAGAAAGAGAAGGCGCTGGTCCGAGACTTTAAGATCAAGGTACGTCCTCCTCAGTCTGATGTCAACACTTACAAGAACACTTATAACAGCTGTGTGCACAGTGCAGCTCCAGGACGTGTTTGGCCGACCTTAGCTTAGCACAGAGACTAGACACAGGTGGAAACTGAGAGCTTCTCTCCATCAAAGTGGAAAAAAAAACCTTCTATCAAACTTAAAGCTGTCTCCCTGTCTTGTTTGTCTTGCTGTAGGTGTTGGACCTGGTGGAGGTGTTCGTGGCCCGGCAGTCTGGCAGTCCTCTTGTTCTGGGTTTGGTGGAGCCTCTGCTCACCATCATCGACAGAGGAATGAGCTCCGACAGCAACCAGCAGGAGCAGGACTTCCTCCGGCGAGCTGCAGACATCTTCAGGTAACTCACATCGACGGTGCACTGAGCTGCTTCACAACATCTGTGTCTGTCACTGTTTTAATGTTTGATGTCTCCGTCCTTTGTTTTTTTTTTTTGTGTGTGTGAGTGTGTTGTTGTTTTTTCAGCACGTGCCGTAGATATGAATGCACCAGCCTCTGTCATGGTGATTTGTCTTGCTTGTTGCCCACGTGTCTCAGCCATTCTCTTGAGATGTTTTGCAGTAGAATCGTTGTCGTTTGTGTTCCACCACAGTGTTGCACATGGTGCAAAACATTTAACCCCGGCTTTTGTTCAGAACATTAGGGAATTACCTTGCATGGTCTTCAGCAGTCTTTTTTTTTTTTTTTTGACAAATGTGAGATATGTGTCTTGTGCATATTTGTCATGCAGGGGACTGCTATGACTGGTGAAACTCACAGGAAACTATGATGATGATTTGTTTTATAAATAAAACAAAATTTTAACACTAATAGAATATATTTGTTTTATTTAAAAGGAGCACTTTATTGACATGTGGTTCCTCTGTGATACTTTGCTGTGAAATTCTAACAGCCAACAACACGCAGCCCAAGAAATGGAGCTGAACTTGACACAGATCTTCCAGTAAGATTTGCTGCTGTCAGGCTCAGCTTGGATGATATGTAGGCATTTACTTATTCTTTCTTAACGTGGCCTGTTTGTGTGATTTTCCAGGAACCAGCTGTGCAGGTCGAAGGTTTACTGCAGGACCGTCGGGGACAGACAGGGGGAGCTCTATGACCTGCTGGACAAACTGATGACTAAAGCCCAGAAACTGTCCGACTCCTCAGTCTGCCTCTACTACTTCAGGTACAACTCATTGTTTTTTGTGATCTAATTTTTATTCCCGTCTTTCTTGGCAGAACAAAGTGCAATCAAAGAAATGTACAACCCCTTCCCTTCCCTCCCTCCTCCCATAACTCCCACCTAATGACCGACAGGACTACAGATACATAACACTCAGAAAGGTTCAAGAGGTACATAAAATATGAGATTCAACAGTGTGCATTATAATTAAATTACAGTTGGACACACAAGGATCTTCACTGCTTTTGCTGCTGTGAGTTACATGTTCACTTTGTCCTCTTCAGCCCCGTTTATCCGAGCTGTTGACATTGAATAACGTTGAATAATACCCAGAAAAGTTAGTGACCATTGCCTTTCAGACAACGAATGTGGTGGTTTCCACCGTACAGCGACCATTTTCTTCCTGACAGCACAATACACAGTGAGGAGAGGTCATTAAAAATCAAAACAGGAACTGCTACAGGAATCCTTAGTAACACAAGATCTGTTGATGTAGTTGCTACGGCACTTCAGAATTGGGATACAACATAAAAACATGATTTATTTAAGAACATTTGTGAATGCGTGGCTAAAGAAGAGTCTTCGTTGGTGCCATGTGGGGGAAAAATAGGTCACTGATACAAAGAGAGAAAATGGGATTCATATTAAAGCAGAACAAACAGAGGGTATGATGCATAACATGACTGACAGTTTCAGTACTATAGCATGTAGAGTTAGAGGATAAGGGATGAAAAATATGATTGTGAGATGTGGTTGAAAGCCGTATAATAGTTTGAAAATGCTCTTACACATATTTGAGACAATATGTAGTTCAGACTTTCCGTTATTCTGAGACATCTCCAGTACCGTTCAAGAGTTTGGAATCAACTGTTATATTGATGTTTCTCTTTCTGTTAATATTTATATTTTCACAAAGATAAAAACATAGTAATTCAGACACCAAATGTGTTATTTGGATTTGAAATTGTTTCAGCCCCAAAAGAAGAATTGAACAATTCAAACTTCCATTCAGTCGATGTCCCAAGAGACCTTTGTACACAGAGATGGCGCTATGTGGCCGCTATGAAGTCCCTTCTTTACGCCTCCTTTGCATTTTTACACAGAACCAAACGACAGCAGCATCATCACGCTTCAGCGTGTGATTTTTAGACAGCATTACAGCATTGTGGAATTGAAAGAGGTGTGACAGGCGTGGCATGTAACACGACAGCGTTCGCCTCTAGTGTGACATCTAACATGTGCGTCGGCAAAGCTTTATAAACATTAACAATCAGTTACCGTCTCTGTTATATGGCGGCTGATCTTGTCCTCTGCTCGGAGGGTAAGGACCTCCCGGACCACATTGTTTTCCCAATTTGGCGACATTTTTGGCTGCTGTTCTTATTATTTGAGTTAGCTGCTAACTGCTGTCAGCTACTTTTTAAATCTCCCGTGGTGAGTTGCACATGTAACATATAGTCAAAGTGTCACACCTGTGCCACCCATGATCCTGTCCTGCTGGCTGTCCCATTGTGTTTTGGCGCTGTTACTATCTCTGATGCCTCCTTAAAGGCGAGACAACTCTGTCCCTCATTCTACAATTGTACCTTTTATAGAGAACGGCAAGGCAGCGTAACAGCGTGAAATTCCCACCTCGAAGAGGCCGTGTAAACGGAGCTTTTGTTGCATGACATGGGAGAATACTGTTGGAACTTTGATTTTGAATTTGTTTTCCAGTGACCCTCAATTCATTATTGGACCTCAACTGGGCTCTAAATATTTTGGGAAGCCGTTTTTCTTTGGGCCCTCTGCAGTCCATTCAGTGGTTAGATTGAAAGGGGCCAACTGTCTGATATTCCAACAGTGCTAAGAAAAAACAGGAACCTGTTCTTGTTTAAATCTGCACACATTTTGGCACTAAGATTTCCGATTATTTTACCAATGATTGATGATTTCTTCTCCTCTTACTGATCTGTTGCGCCGGGGGATCTTTGTCTCTTTTAGCTTAGTCTGGTTAAACCATTATATCGGGTTTTGTTCTCCATGTACAAAACAAACTCCTTTATACTTAAGTGTTTGTAAAGAGAACTTTTGACAACCTAAAAGCAGGAAAGAGCATTCAGAAATATGGAGTAGTCCTGTCAGACATCTGACTGTACCCAAACAACGATAATGTGCATTGACACGGCAGTCTGTTTCCAAGATGAACGATAAAATATCAGGGCCCCCAAACGTAATTTGTGCCTCTAATGTTTTGTATTTTGCTGATGTTGACCTGTCCTTGCAGTGCGGCTCTGTACGTGGTGAAAGTGCTGCGAGGAACTCCACCTGCTGAGGCCAAAGACGAGCAGACAGCCGACGGAGCTGCAGCAAATGAAGTATGTTTTTATTTGTCACCTGCCTTAATTCACTGAACTCATGATTTCACTCGGGGGTGCTGCTCTGTTTAGATAACTGCACAATAGTTGTTACTCCAGTCCAGCTTTGCACCAGAAAAATTCCAGGTCTGTTCCTGTATTACTGGGTCAAGAAGTGGGTCAGTCCTGGATAACTCAGCCCCCTGTTTTTTTTTAGCCAGAGCGTCTTTTTCACACACATATTTCTTGTTTATTTTGATAAGCAATATATCATTTCAGCTATTTTTTTAGTTCCAGCCTCCTAAACTGAATATCTATAGATTAGCTATTTGTAGACATCTTGTTGGGCTCAGAGAAATTGGGATGTGACTTTTACAGACCAAACGAGAAAATACACGACAAAATTTAGAAAAATGATTGTTAGATAACACAAAAACAGCAAGCAAAAAGCTTCATTGTCATTAAAAACAATTACAAAAAGCCACCTCCAGCTGCTAAAATGCTTTCTGTGTGATCGAGGCCTCATGGAAAAGGAAAAGTCAGTGTTTCACCAAAGTCAGTAGATTTTATAGGCTGGAGAACATAAATGTGGCACAAAATTTCATGGTTATCCTTTGAATAGTTATTGAGGTATAATAATTTAAGACTTGTCAAAATTTGCATTCACAGCTGTCAGAAAGAAAATCCCTGACGTTGTGTATTTGCTCTTTCATGGTGTGTTTTTGTGCAGCTGAGGTTTATGGGTAACGTGGATGTAGACCGAGTCTCCGCCATCTTCTCTGAGGCTCTGAGCTCCTTCATGGGCAGGAGGAAGAGCCCTCTGACCGCTCAGATGTTCACAGACTTGTTCACCAGATTCCCCGTGAGTACAGCATCACATGAAGTTAGCTCAGGTCACTGTGGAGACAGAAGTCACGTCTCCGCTGTCAGTAACTAACGCAGCTTGTGTGTTATTTCCAGGTTTTGTGTGTGAGGCTGTTGGACCCAGCCGTGCAACACATCACATCTGGGGTCAGAGTACACCAGCAGGTAAAGATGAACCTCCTCCATCTCAGCTCTGTCTGTTTACTTCATGTATACGTTGGACTTCCTGTTGATGGAAATTGTTTTGTGTGTGTTCAGGGTCAGGCTTGTGTGTTGGTGTTGCGGGGGATGCAGAGCAGGGAGGTTCGGCTGCTGCTGAGCGGCGCTCCGTGGACGGAGCTCTGTGCGAAGGTCTCAGGTCAGCTGGTGGAGGTGGGTCAACGCAGCTCTACATCACAGTCCTGGGGTACATCTCAACTTTAAAGGAACACTTCCTGCCCTCCAAACAAGTGAATTGAAGTTGTAGCAGTTAACAACAGCAAAACTATATCACACACCTCATGCAGTATAACCCAAGTCTCTTTTACCCAGTCGTACTCTCAGTACTGTAGACCAGCAGCTCCTGGGCCTTTTTTTAGTCGACTAAAATATGTTTTGCATCTGTGCTGTTTATGCAGAAGTGTTTCAAAAAGATTTTAGTGAAAATTCATGTGTTTGGGAAGTCCTGAGCGTACGACTGGATAACTTTACTGAGAGAGAGATTATACTGACTAACAAATTGTGAGAGAGTTTGTAAACGGATGTTTTAATATGGATTTGCTTTTGTTAAACGTGGACCCTATGACTTGAATTCATCGATAGCATTCTCCACTTCTGGATTCTTTATTCACCATGGAGGCATGCAGGAAAAGCACAGTTTTCCTCACAAAGTCAACATAACCAGGGGAGAGTAATTGATAAACAAATAAATATTTAGGGGTTGAAGTAATCCTTTAACACTGAGCATGCTCCTTGCAACATGGCAAACTCAAGCCCAACTAGCAACAACAGATGAGCATATTGACCTGAATGTAACATTTCTTAGTAACCCTAACACAATGTAGTGTCTTTACCCTTCTTAAGGATCACTAAACACCCCATTTTTTAAGCAGCTCGACGTACTCCAGTGGTAACTTACACACATCAACAATAAATGCAAATAACTTTGTTTTAGTGGAGAGAATCATTTTGTCGGGCTTTGAAAAGACGTCTTTCCTCACAGAGGTTTGTTTCTGCTTGCCATCCTCAACCTTTGGCTGCATCGCTTCCTGATTTACCAAACTACTGGGTGGGCCAAGGGTCATAATTACAGAATGCAAGTGCGTTAATCACGCATCAGAAACATTGGTGGCGTTAAAAGGAATTTGCCTTAACTCATTATTAACACGTTAACTTTGACACATCTAAAAAACCTTTGCTCTGGGTGCTTAAAAAGTCAGAATTTGAACACTCCATGTCCAGCAGCAAACAACTGATAAACAAAGTTGGCAACTTGCTCCTGAACATAGCTAAAGAGCTGACTTTTTTTCAGGAGCTGGTGGAGCCCAAAAACGGAGCTAAAAGGAGAGTGAATATTGGACGTTGATTTGTAAGACATAACCAAAGACCGACTCAGTACCTGTCCTCTCTTTTTAAATTTAAAAACTCTGTAAACCTCTGAACAGATTAAAAGTCATTTTTCTATGTGTAAAATAACATGAGGTTTTAACTACTCATCAGTTCTTCACTGTTAGCAGAGACAATTACACATCATCACCATCCTTTAGGCTTCTGCAAATTTTAATTATGATGTTGTAGAGGGTTTATGAAATTGCATGGTGCTGTGATAAATGATGATTAGAGCCTCTCGCTGACCTCTGTGCGTCCACAGGACAGCTGAGGGTAAACACATACATAATTACATGCTTCAGCAATTCTTCGCCAAACCACATCACCTCTGTGTCGACAAAAACCAACCTCCCAAACAAACAGCAAACTCCTCTGTAGACTTTTTAACTCCAGGTGCCAAAACTTTCCTTAGAAAAAGTTGCTTATAAGATGTAACGTCAGTCCTCGCTTTTGAGCTGCTTTACACAGGATGAATGACTGATATACAAAATATCAGTATTCCTTTAAATGTTTGTACTGTTTATAAATGCTAAATGGGAAGACTGACAGTGAGGCATCACCAGCTGCCGAAAATGTCTAAATGTCATCTTAATAAAACTATTTCTATGTCCTTTTCTGGGGTCGAAGACAAAGTCATCACTTGGACAGTAAATACATGATTAATATCATATCTGTCACATCAGAGGTTGTTGGCAGTGACTGGATCAGCTGATGATGAAGTCAAGCTGGCTACCAGTCTAACCTCAGTGTCGTCTCCTCTCAGAGTCTCCAGCAGATCGGTCAAACTGAGAGCAAAGTGGTGAAGGAGAAGGTGTTGAAAAGCCTGGAGCTCTGTCAGTTCCTGGTCAAGCACGTTCAGCAGCAGGTAGGTGTGGGTTGCGAGTGTGAGGATGAAGTCATGGGAGGGAATGTGTTGCTGTGGTTTCAGTCCAGACTCATATCTCTGCTTTCTGTTGCCTGCACTGTGTAGAAACTGTCAGTGGACCTGGAGCCCCTTCAGAAGGCTCTGCAGTCTCTGACCGGCGTCATTGCTTTCAAGAAGACGGGCAAGCTAGAGGACACCTACTGGGCCGTGATGAAACACTTTGGAGTCATGTGAGTCACTGTGGTGTGAGCTCTAGATGTGGAGTGTGTGTTTGCGTGCGCAGAAACAAGATTAGTGGGAGGAATCAGGTTATGCAGGTAATAATCAGGTTTCTGTAAAATCCTCAGACACATGCACCAGGTCAGTAATCAGATTTCCTTCCCTTGTCCCACACATAATGTTGGTACCATGACTCACTTATATTAACCTGAATTAGTGAACATGACTGTAAAGATACATCCTCAACGCTCCTCTTCTTTTATTGAATGTCATGCATGGGGGCGGAACTTCAAAAACAGTACATAAGACAAACTAAGAAGTCTGCACACAGTGACTTTTAAAGGAAACATCTGTGCATTAAATCACATTTCTGGCATAAATCACAGTGTCCAGACTTTCGGTCTGTCTTAACTTGTATTACAGATAAATGATTCCTATTTCCTGTCACACAAGTCGTGTATAAACACAGCTGAAGCGCTGTCAAAAGCATGCCAACCCCCTAAACCCACGCAAAGATGAAGAGGACATCGGCCATTCAGAGGCCTAAAACAAGATATTACAGGAAGGCGACCTGGAGCTGTGACCTCTGTAGTGCCTTCTGACGCCTCTGTTTAGAGTCCTCAATCTTAGTCCAACTCGACAGGTTCTGAAAAGCCCAAAAGATTGGGCCGGGTTCGGGCGGGTTGAAGTGATAACCAGATTCAATTTATGGCGCCTCTGTTTAGAGTTCTCAATCTCAGCCTGAGTCCAGCGGGTCTCGAAAAGCCCAACAGGTCGGACCGGGTTTGGCCTGAAAATGTGTGCTGATTGGCCGGGTTGGGTAGGGCCTGGGCTGTGGATTTTTTCTTATTTTTTTTTTTCTTTTTTAGAATTAGAAAATAAATAAATACATAAATAAAACAAAATTTAAAGTGAAATTTAAAATGTATATTAAATTTTGAATTTAAAATGTAAAATTCATGTAAAAAAAATTATATTAAAAAATTTAAATCCAACATATATCGTACATTATATATTAATTGAATGATTGATATCATCTCCCCTTTCTTTGGCTGTAACCTGGTAGCTCCTTAACTGCTTTATCAGCAGCGGACAGCAGCTCCCTCTCCTTCTCACCCTGCAGGCAGGGACAGAAAGAGAGGGAGCAGCCAGGCTCTGAGCCGGACTCTCTGTCCTTCCTCTGGCCTGGAAATACAGTGAGGAGAGTCGTTGATCCACCGAGCTGGTTCATTTACCACTGGAGACAGGCGTGGCTTGTGCCGCCACACAGCCAGTGTGTCCCAAGCGTTAGAAGCCGACTAGTGCTTTTAGGAGGGGTCGGGCTTGGTTGGGCTCAGGCTCAGTATTTTATGTGAGCTTTAACTCACATAGGTCTGTTTGGCTGTACATTTATGTGTAAACATATAAAAAGTCCTGTTAACAAAGTTAGAATAGCACTGTTTTAGTCATGTCCACCATTGCATAAAATGTTGCCTCATTTGTGATGCCTCACCAAGCAGAGACCGGCTCTCCAAGAAAGTCCCTGTTTGAATGTCAACACTGAAAACAGTTTCATAAAATCTTTCCCTGGATGGAGTTTTACAAAAGATCTATTTTCAGTGACCTAAAACACAGTTTGTGTGGATGAGAGGCCGAAATGCATCGAAAAAACTGTTTTCAAATGTACCCTTGTTCATGAGGACTAAGCCTTAGTTAGACTTTGAATTGGATTATTTTAGATACAAGGATGCATCTCTGTGTGCTCTGCTGTCACAGCCATACTGTCATGTGCATATACAAAAGCCAATTAGACATCCAGTTACATGTTAATGTGGCCAAGAGATTGATGTTCTCCAGGAGAAATCTAGCAGGGAAAATCAGGTTTCTCTAATCCCTGATAACCTAAACCAGGTTTCTTGCTTCAGAGGTTTTTAGGAAATCAGATTTCTGCAGAGAGTTGAGTGTAAACCAGTGACTTCAGTGTACGTTAAATCACTGTTTCCTCAATTTGTAGCAGCAGTGTAAAGTTTTTAATATATCTCAACTAGCAGCACCAGTGTGTCTTCATTGTACAGTTGCGATTGTTTTCTCCACCATTATGTTATATATTTTACTATTCAGTTCATTAACTGTTAGAAAAAATTATTTAACTAATAAATAAACACAGCTCCATATAAATTGTTGGCTTTAGTGTTCTCTCAAACAGTGTTCTCTGGAACAAATTAGTTTGATTAAAAGCGTTTTATTACATTTTAGGAAACCCAAAGTCGAAAAGACGAAGCCTGAAAAGGAGGACGGCCAACAGCAAGTTCCCAAGAAGAAGAAAGGTTTTCTGCCAGAAACAAAGAAGCGTAAAAAGCGCAACAAGCCTGTGTTGGAGCCAGCAGCAGCAGCGGTGGCGGACAACTCGACCTCCAAAGACAAAGCGGGAGCAGACAAAGGACAAGCCAAAAAGAAACATGACAAGAAAACAAAACAGAAACGACCGGCCGACGGCGCCTCGGCTTCTCAGCCCAGCCCAGCCAAGAAGAGCAAGACACAGTCTGACAGCAAGGCAGCCAAGAAGAAGAAGAAGAAGAAACAGAAGCAGAAGAAAGAGGGAGGAGGGCAAATGTAAAGTGGACACTAATATTTAATGTTCATTTCCTTTTTAATGAGGCCGTGTTTTCGTCTGTTCAATTTTTCTACTTACCTGGTTCCCAGTTCAGTTTGGACGATATGAAAATATCAACATTTCCATATCAGATATGATTAAACACACTGAAAACTTAAGATGTGTGCTATGTGAATTAAGATGGATTATTTTTCTAATGTGTGAATGCTGTTAGAAAAAATGTCTCCAACAATAAATTCATTTCTCATCCTGTAAATCCATTACAACTCTGCTCCCATTTGAGAACAGTTCTGTCATCTTTTTATTCAGACCATTTGTTTTTTCATTGAATATTATAGTCTCCATTGTTAATTTTGATAAGGTTGATTAGTCTGCTGTTACAGTCAGGGTTTCCTTTTTAACCTGCCTCTTTAAGTCGTCAAAATGTAAATATATTCTGTCTAAAAATACCAGAATCAATCCCCAGGGTGCTAAAACACCCAAATTCTCAGGAAAGCTCTCTTTTTGTTAAAAAATCTAACCTGGATTGACTTTAAACTTGACGTATGTTTGTAAAGAAGTTTTCACCAGCTGCAGAGTTAACAGAGGTAAAATATACAGCTCAGCTTTTTACTAACTTAACACAAAATAACAAGGAAAAATATTCATATGACCATAAAATCTACATATTCATCATACTGTAAAATGTCAGTTGGCTTTACGCACACCAAAAAACCTACTGCAGTCATTGATGATAATAATAGTGCTCCCTTTAGGTTAGCATTTTGACTTCTTTCATACTTTAGTAGGATCGATGTTAAATTTCGGTTGGTATGAAAATCAGGTTGACAATACTTTAAATGTCTTTTAAATATGATGTTTTTTGTATGTTGGGTATTATTCCCCATACGTTACGACTAAATGTTTTTCTACGTCAAGATGACGTCAGACTGAGACATTTGGAAGACGTAGCATTTTGGGTTACTTAACAACATAATTTAAACCAACATATCAGCCTCATCTGTTGACTGTATCCTATGTCAAATTGATGCTGGCATCAGATGTTATCCTGACATTGCATTTTGGTCACCGGATGTCACAACCCAACTTCAAATACAGTTGTCTAATGACATCATTGGCCAGCTGGGTTTAACGAGCTGGGCACATAAAATTAAACGTGCAGCAAGTGTCTTTTGGGTGGCAGCGGAAACAGTCGCACAACGCTCATGGAAGTGGCTAGATGGTAACCCTAGCTGCTTCAAAATAATTTTGTTTTGCTGTTTTATGGTGTGACAACACTGTGGTTAAGGTCTGGTTAGGGTTAGGGAAAGATAATGGTTTGGTTTAAAATGATCACCTGAAACTCAGAACATGAAATCTCATGAGAGTTGTCGCATATCTTGGGCTGCCATCGAGACATGACCGACACTAGCCCCTTTTACACTGCCTGTTGAAGGCAGGACTATTGCACCGTTATGTTGCCTCACTGTGCGATATAAAAGGTACGATGGCAATATGGGACAACGGATGTCTCACCTTTAAGCCATCACAGGAGGTAGTATAAACAGACAGCTGGCAGGACAGGACTATCTGCAAGACGGATGTGACGCTTTGATGACGTGTTATATGTGCAACCCACCACGGGAGACTTAAAAAGTAGCTGATAGCAGTTAGCAGCTAACTCGAAGAAGAAGAACAGCGGCCAAAAATTTCCACTTATTGGGAAAACAATGAGGTCCAGGAGCTTCTTACCCTCCGAGCAGAGGTGGAGATCACCCGCGATATAACAAAGACAGTAAATGATTGTTATTGCCATGTTAATTCCATTGTTATTGTTTATAAAGCGCTGCTGACACATATGTTATATGTCACTCTAGAGGCAAATGTTACTGTTTTACATGTCACACCTCTGTTGATTTCACGATGCCAGCATGCTGTCTAAAATCGCACCCTGGAGCGGAATGATGCGGCCGTTGTTTGGTTATGTGTAAAACTGCAAATGCGGTGAAATGAAGGGACTTTGTAGCGGCTCTGTTGTGTGATCACTGTGTAAAACGGGCTTCTGATATATGACTTTTAAACTGATGTGGTGAGCAAACAGTTTCTCATTTCCATCTTCATCATTTATTTTGACTCTGTGTGTTTGTGTCACCTGATGAATTAAAATCCAGTATTCAGCCTCTTTTATCTCTGTTTTTGGTCTCCACCAACTCCTGAAGGAAATATCTGTCTCTTCAGCTGCTAAATGCTTCACTGTGTTCACCAGCTGGTCTCTGACTCTGTCTGTCTGCTGTTTGCTGCTGAGCAGGAAGTGTACAGTGGGTTTCCAAAAGCTTTTTCTCATTAAGAAATACTTCAACCCCGCAAACGACCATTTGTAACCTTGAACGAAGAATCCCAAAACTTAAACTCTGGATGAATTGAAGTCATATTTGAACCAGAGCAAAACTACACCAAAACATCTGTTTACGAACTCTCACTGAACTTGTGCAGTATAATCCAAGTCTCATTTATCCAGTTGTATGCTCAGCACTTTTGACTAATAAGGTCTTATTTTTAGATCAGTGATTTCAATGCCTTTTAAGACTTTTTAAGGATCCACAGGAACCCTGATTTAAAAACATTTTCATCAGTTATTGATTAGAGGAGTCCTGTTCTTTTATCCTACAGATTCAAATTCTGATATTTGAGTTAGGACACACTATAGCACAAATACACCACCGTGCATTGTGTCTCGCTGGGACTCCAAACAAATACAATTCACTGTTAGTGCAGCGCCAAACACATTGTTGTATGCAAGATGGCTCCTGTTGGTTCCCACCCTCCTGAAGCAGAGATGAGATAACTGATGGATGGGGCTGCTATACCTGCCTGGCTCTGCTGTGGATTTATGGCAGCATGGCTTCATGTCCTGTATAGTAATCCATTTGTGGGCCACTGCATCATTTTCCTGACAGCTGAATCACGGTTCTGTGTGATTGCTCACCTTAGTTTATAGCAAAAAGGCTGGCAACATGAAATCCTGTGCAGAGGCCAGTGACGTTTTTCCTAATGAGAATGTTATATAATGGGGTTACATTTCACCGGCCAGTCCAATCATGTGACACAGAAAGGTGAATTCTGACACAGGTGCTCACAGATCTTTCACTAATGGTTCCTGGGTTTAGTCGTAACAACGAATGGCCGGGCAACCTTGTTTTGGTAAGTGACAGATTCTATTTTTAGTTCACGCCAATTACAAAAAGAGAAGTCTGACTTTATTCAGAGATGGAGTAGAGAAGTCACAGACAGACTGCTGGTTTGGGTCTTTTTACAGGATTAACTGACATTAAGAAAAATATAGAGCACAAGGTCTGTCCTTAATGTCTAGTGGTGTCTTGTTTAAGTGGCTGTAATGTGATCAAATGACAATGTGAAAGAGTTCACTCGTAGTAATGAACCCACCAAGAATTATCAGTTGAATGTGCAGCCTCTCTCAGATTTACGGAGCTTTATCTGTCCGACCCAGTCTCCAGGTCTTGTTCACCAGTGAGGGTAGAATGGACCGTGAGATGGATCAGCGGTTTGGTGCAGCGTCTGCAGTGATGCGGGCGCTGCACCAGACTGTCGTGGTGAAGAGGGAGCTGAGCCAGAAGGCAAAGCTTTCAATTTACTGGTCCATCTATGTCCCAACCCTCACCTATGGTCATGAGCTGTGGGTAGTGACCGAAAGAATGAGGTCACAGATACAAGTGGCCGAAATGAGTTTCTTCTGTAGGGTGTCTGGGCTCAACTTTAGAGATAGGGGGAGGAGATCAAACATCTGGAGGGAGCTCAGAGTAGAGCTGCTGCTCCTTCACATCTAAAGGAGTCAGTTGAGGTGGTTCAGGCATCTGATCAGGATCCTCCTGGGTGCCTCCCGTTGGAGGTGTTCCAGGTACATCCCACTGGTAGGAGGCCCCGGGACAGACCCAGAACACGCTGGAGGGATTATATATCTCATCTGGCCTGGGAATGCCTCAAAGTCTTCCAGGAGGAGCTGGAAAGTGTTGCTTGGGAGAGGTATGTGTGGAATGCTTTGCTCGACCAGGCTCAGGATAGCGGAGACAACTACACTCATATTTTGTTTCTGGCCGAGATGCTCAGAGCAGAAGATCCACTGTCCACTAGTTAGATACCACTGTACCCTGGACAACATGGGGCAGTGCAGATTCAACGAAAACTGGCCAAGATTTCACAACATGCATAAAAACAGCACAAGTAAATACATGAGTTTCAGTGTATTTTACGCAAGAAGTTTTTCAAACTCGGCACAATGAGAATCAAGGCAGTGGAAATCCACATGCAGAGTGAGAGACACATAACCTACTCTTGTTTCAACCATGCCCAGAAAGAGTTCATTTAATTTAAGGAACATTAAGTTTTTCACCAGAACAAAAAAATGTCATGTTTTATGTTACAGTAAACGTTTGGGCAGAATTGTCCCTGACCCTCATTGTTGATGTCTGTTTATGTTTTCTTGTTTTGTTTCTCTCCAATTTTGGTTATTGTAAAATTGGTCTTCAATTTCATTCCAAGTGCCATCTCTTCAAATAACTATGTCGGTCAGTGACTCTTCACATCCAAATATGACACGCTAGGTACCCTTCTGCCTCAGTTTTGGACATTCAGGGTAGGTGAGTCAATTTACACTTCTTACATGCATTGTGTCTGTCAAAATACACTAATGTTTTCACAGGAAGTGTATGGATTCTGCTCATTAAATGAATAGTCTTTGTCAAATTAAATTTACAAGATAGGTAAAACACCTTTTTTTAACATCTATTTGCATTTATTTCCTTGTGCACCAAAAGTACGTTTTTAGGTATATGTAAAAAAACCCATCATGGTTTGGTTTAACATTCACATGGGAAGTGAATGGTGAACTACTGGGTGAAAGTCCAGAGTTTGTTGGACCCATCCACCAACAAAATTGAATGTTTAGGTCACAGATCAGGTTACCATTAAATCTGGACCCCCACAACCTTTTCTCCAACACCACCATGAGGTTTAAGATTCCTCTAGTAGATTATCATGAGTTTTCCCTCCACTTTGGGGCCAAAATCTCAACTTTGTGGGAGAAACATTTGAAAAGTAAAAAACTCTTTTAGCAAAGACCAACAAAATCCTCAGGATTCAACCTCTGGGCACCATGAATGTCTGGACAAAATTTAACCTTAAGTCCATCCATTAGTTGTTGAGAAATTTTAGTCTGGACCATAGCTGTAAATTGACTAATAGTCAGGCTGACATCGGCGTCCCTAGAGCCACACTGCAGCTAACTGCAGCTAGCTGTGGCTAAATATACAGGGAACCATAATGGAGGAATGAGAGCAGAACAATTCTGTACGTATCAAAGAGCTCCAACCAGAAGTTCAAAGTAAAGCTTTCATTATCGAAAATACTACAAGCTTTGAACAAGGCTGATCTGCTATTCCTTCCCTTGCATACAGAACAATGGAGGTACTGTCTGCATTCCTGCTACCTTGCAGTCACAGCTTGAACCTGCAGTAATGAAGTATATAAACAGACACTGGTGGTGACAAATCATCCACCTCGAACCCTGACAACAGGGGTGAGAATAGGAGCAGCGGTGTCCTTTCTTCCTGACAGTGAACTGTCACTTGTCATCGCTGTGAGTTGAGATATAGAGTGCAGAGGCAATCTGCTAATGCAGCTCAGTGGAATAATAAGAGTGGGCTGTAAAGTCGAGGGCAGAGTCTCATCAATATAAGTAAGTCGTAACTGAATGCAGGCCTGATGATTCATCCCCTCACCTTATGAAATAGTTTGTATTCACCCATGTTGCTTTTGTTTAAGTGTGGTCCCTTAGAGTCTGATGCTCCACAGCAGGCAGGTTGGCAGGCTGCTGGCAGGGTGTGAGTTCTATATTGAGTGCAACCAGAAACCTATTAATTAGTGCACCCAGTAGTTTACTTGCCAGGCCTTGTAGGAACAACTTGAGTTGAGTTCTACCATTACTTGGAGGCGTCCCAAAAGCCTCACACTGTCTCCTGTTGAATACCTGCTGTGCAGAGAACTTCCTGTTCCTGGAACAATAACTGAAAGGACCATATGCTTTCTTCTATCTTCCACAAAACTCTTACTGTATTATATTTTAGAATAATTCTGACCATTTCCAAAGCAGGCAAGATTAACAATTGTGAGTGTGAACCACACCAATGATTTCCAACACAACTAAGCATCTGCAAATTGATCTTCATACTTTCCAGAAATGAAAGAACACCAATGGTTGTCTAGAGGGCTGAAAAACACATTCAAAGGAGAGGGGGAAATACTGAATACTGTGTGCTCAGTAAGTTAGATTCAAAAGACATTTTAGAACTGAGACAGTCCAAACCATGTCTCAAAAAAACTGATCGAAGTACAGCCAATGAATTCAACGCCAATCTTTATCAATTTGGGTGTAGAGGCTAAGCCAATGCTTTAAGCCACTGAGATGCTGCATCGATTGATTGTTACCATGTCTGAAGAATCAGAGTCTGAGTCAAACTTGCCAGTTGAACACTCCGTCCATTTATTTTCCATCACAAACTTGTCAGTGTCCATTGAACTCGAACATGACAAATAAAGGTTACAACCATTTATAGTGGTGGCCGCTTATTACCCTGTGAGACCTGATACCCAATACAACATATACACCATACAGAAAATTATTCATGCATACTCTGCTCCTACAGTGGGGCTAAACTTGGTCCTGGATGGATCACTCAATGTGATGTGTCAGGGGTCCCCTTGCCTTCACCTGCAAAAAGTCACCCAAAGAGACACGTACCGACCAGGGAAAATACAAAAGAAGTGCGGTAGAGTTCAGTTCAGCTTGGTACGCTTTTTTTCCATTCCCACTGTGAAAAGTTGTGGATGGTACCAATGGAACCGTTTCTTACCGTTTTCATGTTTGGTCCCCCCTCTGTTGGGGTACCTAGCACACAGATTTGGTACTTAAAGGTGGAGCTGTGAACACTGCAGTCTGATTGGTCATTAGAGGACGGTCACTCTGCTCAGGGCTGAGTTGTGTCTGGTTTTGAGGCTCATGTAACCACTGTTCATGCTGTGGAGAGTTTTATTAGTAAACTGTAACTATAAAATGAAAGGATGTTTTGCTGCCTCTCACTGAGAAGGACTAAATGCACAAAGCTGCTA